CAAATCCGAACCATGCCAATACAAGACATCGAAGTCAATGAGCAGGATTGACTCCAGACAGAGTATGCTTGTAAGATAAAGTGTAACACCATGACTGCATGTGTAACACCTCCTCCTGGTACGGCGTCTAACAATTATACAGGTCAGAAAGACCACACATGCAATATATATCTCCTAATGTGATTACCATTGCTCCAACGACCCTGGTCGACTGCAGTGAAGGCCGTTTGAAGAAACATGAGTACATACGCCAAAAGCTGTATTTATGGTATTATTGACAATGATATTTTTTGCATACAGGCTAGGAAACACTTAGCAAGAATCAAACTAGTAATTTGACCCGATTGGAAAGTTCAGTAGTTTTCACAAATTATTTCAGCCTGTTAAACAGACGCACGACTGGTCACACGCTATATTAGAAGTCATATTGATGGACAAATATCCTTACTATTTCCGCCAGAAAGATGGCAGATCGCGTCCGCTACAATTTATGATTGTGGTTGGTTAACTGAACTTGAATGAGAGGGCTGCCATTTAAAGTTACTTGTCCGCTTCCCCTGATCCCCATATACGCTCTATATGTGATATATAACACTTACCATCGACTTGACTACACTCACTGCAGGAAGAAGGCTCTTCCCATGATCCACCAACCAACTCGGTCTTGCGCTTACTGCTGCCACATTTTACCTGCGAACTTTTTAATCCCATTAGCCCACCTAATTTTCCGTCTCCCCGTCATGTGTTGGCCCTGAGAATCCAGTCAGCTGCCCTAATGATCAGCGACTGAAGAGTTGTGCGTGTTATGGGAACTAATCGGCTATTTCTATCTGATTGTTACCTTGAGCGTATAAGTCGCCGGCGGTCTGGGCACATGAAAAGTAAACAGAAAAGTTCCTAACTGCTGAAAAATTGACTTGCGCTGCCTCTAATTCTGTATCGTACTTTTTCGGCGTTTTGTACATAAAATAAAATAAATACATAAAATTGTAGACAGTGGTTCTCAGTCGGGAGTCAGCTATACGTACTAGGAATTACATCTACGGCTAGCCTAATAACATAGAAAAGTGAATGAAAGGGCAAGGAAAAAACTATGCCTAGTACTAAAGAGCGGCGAAGGGCAAAAAAAAAAAACTTCGAACGTAACTAACGACATGTAACACTCACCGCATAGCGTCAGCTTGAAGTGTTAGGACTCCGAGATCCCTGGCACAACACACATACACTACGATAACTCCACACGACACCTTCAACATGTATCATGTCACATCATAAATGCAGCATATATAATGTAACCCCACAACTAGATGCTAATATCCATTACGCTTCAGGCCTCTACAATTATAGTGATCTGCGCAGAAACGGTCACATAGCCAAAATGACCCAAAACGGCGATTCCCAAACGTATTACTTGAAACGCTCCTTTCGCCCTTTTTCACTCAAAAAAAAAAAAAAAAACTCATAGAGCATGCAAAACTGCCACCTTACCCATACCTACGTACCTCGATATTACGTGACTCATTAGGTTGGAGAGTGCTTAAAAGAGGGCGGTATACTTTATTTTTAATCAATATGCTAGGTTGTCATTCTTGTGGCTGGTTTGGTAGCAAAAGGTTGCATAAAACACACCTCAGAGCAGCAAAATCGCGCCATTACATTGCATGCTTAAAATAATTAAAGGGGACCTCAACGGATTTAAATATATAACCTTAAACCTTTGTGCAACAGCGGGTTACACACTTTCCACTTTCCCGTCTGCAGAAAAACATCTTATTCTGCATCACATGTTGCAATTCGAGCGACGCTAGACACTCAAGTTTTACCGCAGTATTCGTAATACCAAAGAAAATTGTCATACCACGCTTTGGAACAGCGGATGTAGTGTTACAGCAGCAATGAGCACCTGTCACTGTATTAATATAGCCTGTAAATTTTCCTCTTCTTCGGAGCGAATAAAACCTCTCAATCAAAATGCCGAATAATTACCTTTTCTTCTGGCTTTTCAAATAGGTGATTTTAGGTTCGAGTTATCACGTGATTCATGTGAAATTGCGGAATAAATTGACCAATAAATGCATCAAAACAATCTTATGTATGATTGCACCAATCGTCCCTCAGCTCAACAATGGATATTGATGCATGAAAATAATTTCTTGATATCGTATAACACTGAAAAAGTAAGCACGTATTCATGGACACAGCTACACTTGACATTATCAACTGGAAAAGCAAGTAGAGTCAAATAAGAAGAAGAATAGTCTGTGGATGCACTGAACTGAACTTTACATCAAGCTTTACACAGAGCTACGCCTCGCGAGAGGCGGAACTGCTGATGGTGTTTTATGCTGGTATGACTACCGCACAACTTTTCTCTTGAAAACTTGAGAAGTATACATTGTGTCACTCACTTCGGTGGTTTCATCTCCAGCACCTTTTGATGCTACCATGAGATGGAGCCTTCGTGAAACACTGGCGCAGTGTTTTCTCATTTTTTAACACGAAAGCATTTTATGTGGAGTCCACCAAAACTTTAGCGACGTATTTCCATCACGGATATGATCATTGATAAAATGAACACCACCAAACAAGAAAGAAATAATTTCCGAAAAAATGTTTGCCCACCCAGAGTCAAACCTCTGCAATGCCCCCGATGCTCTACTGATTGAACTCTTAAAGCCGACAAAAAACTCCACAAACAATCCTTATATATCTCACACCTTCTCTCTCGGTCTGTGCTCTCTGTTCGGGTGCGATGCCGCCGCCCGTAAGCGATGAAGAGAAGTATAGCGGCATAGCCCTTAATGTTTTCAATCATTACCAGCACCAATAGAGAACGATTCGTCAACGACGCTGTTAAAGCATAGCATCCGGGATGGCGCACATCACACAATATCAGCTGAAACACTCGAACGCAATCACTGACGCAATCTCAACTAAAAAAAAAAAAAACTACTTCGGATGTACTGTAACAACACACAAAGGATTCGTAATTGAAGCAATCCTAATCAGGAGCTCGTTTACCACATTTATACATAAAACTCCTGGAATCAGCATAATGATAACAATATCATTTGTTGGTGTTTAACGTCCCGAAATCACCATATGATATGATAGACAGAGGGCTCCGGCAATTTCTACCACCTGGGGCTTTTTAGGGGCATGTATATCGAAGCACACCAGTCTCAAGCATTTTTGCTTCGATCAAAACAAAAACGTGGCCGCAGCGACCGGGTTTCGATCCCGTGACGTGCCTGAAGAATCGACATATTACGTCATGTACGAGAGATCAGCGAAAGTGGCATTGGTTATTGAAAAGGTTTCCTAAGGAAAATATCGCCAAAAAAGAGAGAGATACAGAAAACAAGACACTGGTAGCCAACTTCAACAGGAAGAGGGGCAATTTATTGTGGACCTGCCTTCTACAGCAAACATGTGAAAAAAAAAAACTTTGCACACACAATTAGCATAAAAAAGCAACGATGATTACCTCGGTGACTAAAAAATGTAAATAAATAGCTCATTTTACTTACTGGTTATGTACACATATACTTAAGCATCTTTCTTTGTGATTATACCATGGCAAACCTAGCATCAACATATTACATTCGATCTAAGAATGTATAATCCATTTTGTAATCAGTTTTTCATGCTTCTTATTGGAAGATTTCTTAGGCACTTTGAGGCAAATGCTTAACAAGTGTTAATTGATAGATGCGATCTTTTTGGCAGTGTGAGACCTCCAGAAGCACGGAACCACCACTTGTTTCCGGTCAAAGGCAACTCATGTGTCTTTGTACTTCGTGAAAAGGTTGTACAACACCCTCAATGTCGACTTGAGATCAGAGTTAACCAAATCTGGAAAGACGTTATCAGAAAATTAGCTGGGCAGAATTCATGTTAGCATTGCAGAACTTTTTATACCATGTCGTTTTCATTATAGTGGGCAAAACACATTAGGGTTACTCTAAAAACAACATTTTTAGGCTACTGGATGCGGCAATTTGGCAACATTAGATGGACTGCATAACTTCTTTATTTGCTGATGGTTAACAAAGCCTGTTATATGACGAATCTTAAAACATGTGTAATTCATCTATTTATAAGAATTTTTGTTGAGCAATTAAGCTCATGTGTTGAAGTGCACATATTATTGGGTTCTTCAGCAATGAACAATGAAGTACAATAAAGTACAGTGATTATTGTAATAAAGTTCCAAGTAGGAGCCCCGAGAAGAAGTAAGGGCACCCTCCTTCAAATTATGCGAAAACTAAATTTTGCACTGTTCTAAGAAAGCACGCCCAATACCCCACTTGGTTCCAAACAAAGATGTATTTTATGGAGGCAAATGTGTGAAAGCATTTAGCATTGAATATTTGATGTAGTTGAAAGAATCATGCACGCTGAAAGCTTCAACTGCTTAAGAGGAACAACACCTGCCATAATGTATGCAGCAATGTGCTGCTGACGTGTTGCAGTTCATTTTCAAGATCAAGATACATTGTATGGTGATGTTGTGAGCAGTGGACCAAAACCCTCTGAAATGGGCTGGACAGCATTCACTGATCCTAGCATTAGGCAGACAACAGTATAATGAAAGGAAAGAATTCACGTAACAAGCAGCGACTTAATGTAGTACAGCAGTGCTAGTAAAAACAAAAAATAACAATGCACTAAAATGAATTCATTATTTCCAAATTACATATTACATCCAAACCTTAAAAACTTTAGTTACTATTACTACTGTCACAGTTATTAATAGATATTAAAGCTGGCATACTACCTTCAAAATGTTTCAGTGATCATACAGTGCAACACTACTGAGCAAGTTCATAACCACAGGAAAAAATAGTGGCCACTTTTCACGGATGTAAATGAAAAGAACTGTGCTGATATAAGTTAACATGAACCATTGGTAACCATGATCCTAACAATCATGCTATCACTCTTTGGCACTTACCTAGTAGCTGAAAGATTGAATGACGAGAATGAAGGCTTTTGTAGCATCGAGTAACTTGTTACGCTGTGAAACATCTACAAGACTCACCTTCTGGTCTTGCCTTGGGTTTCGGCAAGCCGGCATCAGTCATAAGAGTAAACGAAAACGACACATTGTGGACTTTCTGGTCAAATGTTGACGGTGTTGGGAAAAACGAGTAGAGGGGTACGAAGTACCCTTCCACAAGGCCCATGAGAAGAACCAGGTAGATTCCATCCTGAAACTGAAGAAAGAAACCAAGTTACTGACGAAGGTACTTTCTATCTGTGTGAATCAATTTTATAAGCGGGATCTAAAGGAAACACATCCAGTAAAGAAAGTAACATGTGATGTATAGATTAGTATTCCACGGAAGTAATGTTTATTCATGGTCATTTGGTTCTGCACGGTTTAAAGCGTACGCAAGGCAGAAGGAAAATTGTGCTTTAGATGTACAACTTCTCACGTGCTTTAAAGAAAATTGGTCGGAAGGTGAAGGTATATATTATTTTTTTGCAATGCAATGTATAACTTCCTATTTGCATTGGGCAGGCAAAGAGAGGCCTAAATGAGAGGCCTAAATGATAGGTCGTGAGCACAAGCAGAAGTTGGGCCGACTAAGGGATGGTCACGAGTCTACAGTTATTGTGTATAAAAAGCGTTGTTAACAGAGTGTGCTGTATTACATATGATTGACAAAAAACACCCAAGAGATTGTCGAAGTTGCCCTCATAGTGAGGGCCGATGATAGTTGTGTCAGCTACCCTTGTTGGTGCTGACTGCAAATGAATTCGCCTTGCTGGATGTGGCAGGTTTTCTTGTGCAGTGCTTGGGCCTTTTTTTGCACAGATCTTTATACTGTTGCTTCTGGCAATACACATTCAGCTGAAGGTCAGCGCTTGCCCCGTTGTGTCTTTCCTATCTGTATGTGTGAGCACTAAAAGGCGGTTTGACGTATTTAACTAACTAGACTGAAAAGCCGCACAGAAAAAAAATTAGTATGCTGGATTGTAAGTACGACCACATACAAGGTTCCAATGCTTCCACTGCCTAAGGAAATCAGTGACCAATCACAAAGGAATGTTCAGACAAACCTGTGTGTCCAAATCCGAGACCTCAAGGTTGATCTTGTTAAGGTGCTTGTTCACAAAGCTCATGAGTGACTGAAAAAAAAAGTGCCACAATTCCACATGAAGCATTGCAAGAGAACAAAGGCTTGCTTATGAAGAGTACCAACCTTTTTCACAACTTGCAGTTTGTCAGGAGCATGGTCAAACAATGTATCAAATGCATCTCGTTCTGTATGTGGAAGAAAATGGTGTAAGCAATTGCCATAGAAGCACACACTGATGACTATTCTCTCTCCTGAAAAACTACCGAAGTGCAGATGTCCACTAGCACTTACCAACTCGCATGCCAAGGTCACTGGAATAATTAAATAATGAAGGAAGTGATGAATAGTTATACAAATGAATTTCATAGGCAAAAGGATTTGACAAGTGTTATTGAAGATAAAAATATTAATGTAACATTTGTGCTTACTCATATGTAGATGTCAGCTCTTCCTGAACAGTTCTTGGGTGCAGGATTCCATTCCGTTTCTAGAATTGAAAGAATGCCCCATAAATGAGAATAAAGATTGCCCCATTTGTCAGGTGAGAAGTAATTAAAGCATATTCGTGCGTGTCCGTTTGATTTTGTAGATCAGCCAAAGATGATGCAGCAACATTATCTTTGTCTGCTCCTTTGCCAAAATGCATTATGAACTTGAGAACAATAAAGTGTAGATTTAAATCAACAAAATGCATCTTTGTGCCACGTGACATTCACAAATGACATTCAGACTAAAACTATTATGTTCGTAGTAAAAATTTTTATGGTCAAGATTTTATTAATTTAAATTCATAGGGCACTTATCTTCATGATGTCTTTAACCATGACTTTTAAAATGAGCAATGTTAAAATAATCATAAAACATAAACCTACATTTTAACAACTCTAACGTGCATTCAAGAACAGTTAAATATAAAAGCAAAACACTAGAATGCCATTAGTTTGAGCCTTTGCATCTTTTACAACACTGGAACTGAAAACAGCAACTTCAGTCGTTGCATGTTGACAGCCCTATAACAGCCCTAAAATTCCTTGTGCTAACTTGGGTTATATCATAGAAGTACTAAAATCAGAACAGTGATGTGAAATATGTTCAGCAAGTGTGAATGGTGAAAGGTCGTGATAATAAAACATGGTGGGAATTTAGCCACCGCAGCAGCGACCTCTCTTCAGAGGCTGTACCACAGAGCGCCTCGATATATGACAGGAAAAGCACGCACGTCTTAAAAACGCCAGCAGTGATTGATTTGTTAAATATGGTTTGCTACCGAAGAACGCCGATGGATGAAAGGGTGTGTGTCGTCGGGAGGGCAATGGAAAATGTTTTCATGAAGTGTCTAATTCATTGCACTGGATTAAAATGTGAAGTATGATCAGTGGCTCACCACATGTCACACAAAGAAGGATCGCCACCACATAAAAGGCATGAGTGTGTATTGTGTGTGTGTCCTGTCCGTAATTTTGTACATGTATCTTCAGTGCGATGAGGTTTAGATACTGGCACCCAAAAAGGAAGTTGTGGCTTAATATTGGGCACTTTATTTTGGGTGTGCTTATCCCATATGCTCTGTCAATGAGCCCTGAGCTTTCATTTCAAGAGAGCAGGAATAGCCATTGATATATTGGATGTGGTTTCGTTGACGGACACAGCTAGGTGGTCTGCTAAAACGTTTCCTTGTATCTTACAATGCCCTGGCACTCAGCACACCATGTGTTTTTGGAGTGTACAGACTGTACATAAAACTGAGCACAGCGAGACAAATATAGGGTTTTTTGTCTATTGAGTTTTGAGGGATTTCAAGACTGGCTTGTGCACACCTTTTGGCTACAACATGTGTAGCCAAATGAACACATGCTGTGAATTTCTCTCCGATTTTTTCGTTTCAATAAACTAAAGTTTTTGGAAAGCATACGTACTGTATTCTCTTCATTTTGTGCTTCCGTTGGGTTCATGCTGATTTATACAAGTACAGGTAGTACTTTACTAAGCAATTACCGATGCAGACACTTTCTTGTGTAAGTCTCATTTTAAGCTATATGAAAATGTAATACCCACAGCACACCTGGAATACACTCATTTCTCTCATTACAGGATAACTCCATTGTCATTTTGGAGGTCAAAGGTGAAAATACGACCGAGAAAGTGGCCTGACATCAGCACACATATAATACTTGTTGGAGGAAGGAACCAAACAGTGACTTGGTATTCATCACCTTTACTGCCAAAAAGCAAATTTTTTTTTTGATAAATAAAATTATTTAAAAAATCATTACATCAAACTTGCACAAACAGAGGTCTGATTTTATTGCATTTGAAAAAGGTGCTGTAAATTAGATAGTGCTAACCTTTTGGAACTGCACTGCAGGTTGTGAAGCACTATATACAGAAGTGCTCTGTATTTGTTCTCACTGCTCAGGAATATTTGCATTTAAATGCATTTATGCACCTATATACTAAAATAAGCAATAGGTTCTTCTGTCTCCTTATGCAGTAGCATGACAAATGAGGCCACTCTAGTTCTTACATTTTCTGTGCAAGGGAACAGTGTACAAGCGTACTGATAAAGTCATTATTTAACACAGGCTGATTTCCTGCATAGAGCTTCTGCTCTGCAAGACATGAGAATCGGGATGAAACATCTTTTTTTCACCTACCTGAACAACGACAACGTTTACCACCACATTTTCCGGCAGCCTCACTGGTGCTCGAAAGTGTCGAGCTAGAGCAACTAACAGGTGAATGATGGATACCACATTCTTCTGGTGAATGCCTAAAAGACAGAAAACAACCTAATTACAGCTGATTTAAGGAAGCGTACAATTTCAATTAAGAAATAAAACTCAAAGCTTTCAAATTCAATGCAGGTGAGATAAGGCAGAGGTGCAGTCAGAAATTAGTTATAGGAAGGAGGTTACACTCCCTTAATATATTGTTACTGCATATGTGATTTGGGTATGAGCCTCTGGGTAGCGGAGAACAGGCAGGTTAGAGAAGAGGACTTTGGCTAGTGAGATAGTTTTGGCCAATGAGATAGTCCTCCGGTGCACGACACCTTCAAGTCTACCGGTTTGAGAATGTGTCGTTATGCGAGCTCATAAATACATATACAAAATGTCAAAGTTTCAGAAGGTTTGAATCCTAAAAAACTTACCTAGCCACACCACAGCATAAAAAACCAGGTGAACAAGATCCCAAGTGGTAATTATTACAACACAGGAACAAAGATCTTTTGTGGTAATGAGTGAAATACAAAAAGTTAATTTATTGCACCTAAAATAAGCATTATTAAAAATTTTTCTTGCTTGAATTTAGCACCTCATAAAACTTCATTTTGTGAATTGAGTGCCTGAAGACCTACACAACAAATATGCATGCATTGCATTTGCGAACTCCGAATTTCATGAAATGCAAAGAAAAAATTTATGCAATCCAATGAACTTGAAGGGACCTAGAACCATTTTTATGGTGCCTATTGTTTAAGCACAAAAAAATCTTACCCATCAGCGAGTCTGATTCGAAATTGTTAAATTAGAAAATGCCGCAAAACATTGATAATCACAGTTTTTCTATCCGCAGTGAATATAAAGTCGTATGCTCACATGCTACAAACAGTGAGTGCACCTGCAGTTTGTGTTCGAGCGCAGTAGCTTAGTGGGCTTGGGTGCACTCCGCACAAATGTGCCACGACTAGACTTGGTCCACTGGCGGCCGCAGCGGCAGCACCACTTTTAACCGTGCTACTCCTTTTACGCTGGAAACAGCACATAATTGAGCTGGCTGGATTAATATACGTATTCTATTTTTGAAGACCGGCCCGCTCAACAGCATCAGATGACGCGACCGACCACGTTCAGCAAAGTGGTCGACTACATATTTCATATTCCAGCTTCAAAACTATTCTGCTAGGCTGCGCAATAAAATGGTTTGATAATTTTAAGCATGATATAACAATATAAATCTTAGACACTATGCAAAAATAATGCTGGAATATGGCACTACATTTTATGCTTTTTGAATTTTCGTTACGATCTAATCACGCACTCTTGACTTCCAGTAATGGGAATAAGTTTCAGTAATGGGAATAAATTTACAGTAAATACACCAGTTTTCTGAACTCCAATCTTCTGTTAGTTCTCATAATTTTTGTGTTAAAAAAAAATGAGCCCTTTAAAATTGACGTTTCTTTCCTTTTACTCTAGTTTGCCCCGCCGTGCCGGTCTAGTGACTAAGGTACTCAGCTGCTGACTCGCAGGTTGCGAGACCAAATCCCGGCTTCGAGGGCGAAAATGCTGTGGCCCGTGTGCTAACATTTGGGTGCACTTTAAAGAACCTCAGGTGGTTTAAATTATCGGAATCTTCCACTACAGCTTCTCTCATAATAATATGGTGGTTTTCAGATGTTAAACTCCCCATATCAATCAATCCTCCACTATAATTTGAATACTTGGAGCCTTCTGTTTGCGGTTCAACTTGTACCTCTTATTCCATAATGCATAGTGTAATTACAAAATACCACACATTACGATATTAACAGTTATAGTTTTAAGCCTGTTTCACATGCGAGCGATTTTGCTCCAAGAGCGGAGCGGCAGCCGCCGCGGAAGGATAAAACAGGTTTTTACCGCGGCGACTGGACGCCCTTGTGAAATTCACCCGAGTTGGAAAAATTCGCTAGCGGCACAAGCGGCAGAGCGACCAGTGACGTCGTTTGACACGTGATGACGGGGGTGGAGTCGAGAAGTTGACGCGCGCGCTGCGAGGAACTGGTTCCACAGAACAACTCGCTCCGACTGAGTAGCAGACGACATCCGTCCTCTCCCCGGCTCACAAATGTTTCGCACTGCTTTCAACAAGCCGCTGATAGAAGTGTTGAAACGATCTCTTCTTTGGGACGTCAAGATGAAGGATTCCCGCAAGAACCATAAGAAGAGCATTCTTTGGGAAGAAATTGCCAAACTCGCATAGTTCCATAAAGTAAACGTCGCGACTTGAACTGGCCATGTTCAATGGTGAAGTCGAAGTGCAGCTGTTTTCCTTTCCTTGCTCTCGACGATGCTTTCGCCGTAGTGACAATCGCGTGCGGTGCCTTTTTTAATTTCAATAACATTATTATAACATTATTTTTATTTCAATAACATTATGTCGCAGCAATTGTTGCTGGTTTAACAAATGATGACATTTTGTGTCGCGGTGCATAGATGAAAGGCTTCACACGAACGAGAGAGCAAGGACGGCTTCTACGGTAGTGGACTTGAGAAGTAGCATTACACACAGGTCACTGAAAAGGAATTTCGTGATGTGACTCAACAAAGAAGGGGCGCGAAGCTTCCTGTCATGGTTCGGGGAAATAAGGCACTCATCAGGGGCCTTTATTTTTGTTCTCCCCTTCAACAACACCTCGATTTCTCACTAATACACTGGCTGACTTGTCCGCGTCTTCTGCGACGCTTTTTTCGCGATGAGCAATTGCACCGCAGAGCACTCAAGCTTGCAGGCTGTCGACAGGTCCTGCTACACTGGCCAGCTGCTCTTCGTGACATTTAGTGCCGGAATGGGCGGCTTGCTAGGCGGAAATAGATGTTCGGTCGCGAGCACAACATACACTGCGTAGATAACGAAGAACAGCTGTTGATTTCAGGCACCAGGGCAGCAACACATGCCTAGAAACATGCATCTAAATTACATGGTCGAATGCTACCAATTGAATGTCACTATGTCCCGACGGCAAAGGTGTGTTGTGTGAAATGATGTGATACTTTGGCTTTCCTGCTCACCACCGCAGCATTTATGGACGCAAATGCAAGCTAAAGCAAGAATTGCTGCGTAGTCCCTTACCTGCGCCGCGCACAAGTGTATATACAGCCGTCAAAGAACCGGGACAATGAGCGTATCACATATATTATGCTACCTGCTGTTGATGAAACTCTTCATCCAGGAGTGCTTTACTGAATTATTGAAAAATCTAAGAGGCTTACTCTCTAGGGTGGAAGCACACGAATTCGAGCGCCAGAACATATGTAGACCATTCAGAAAACCTCTATGAAGGATGTGTTCGCATGAACCAAAGGGTGACCACAAACACTGGCGAAGCTTACTACTTAGAGTTTTTATAAAAACTCTTATTTTGACTCGAGCGAACAGGTACAAAAATTTAGGTATAAATTTTGCGAGTTGTGTATACTGGGCTGACAGAAACCTCGTTCAGTGTCCCAATGTTAAATCGCTGAAAGCAAAAGCAATGAATTGGAGAAACATGGGAAGTGCTGCGCAAAAGGCGCTCACAGTTCTTAAGCATTCACCTAGCTGGACAGCTGTATAATAAAACCATACAAGCAAACTCTTTTTTTTTGCTTCTCCATGGTCAGTTATATCAGTTATATGAGCGCGCAACAAGAATCATACGTGAAAAAGCCAGGACAAAACAAAAAGCAACTGCAAACGTTGCTTATTTGTTGTAAGACACATGTTAAAACTAGTTCAATCAGTGTACAGACGCGTAAAAGTCGAGCGGCTATTGATGATGAACCTCGTAGCACAGGGGCGCCAAATGAAGCAGACTTGAAGGAGAGCACGGCTTTCAGATACTACTGAAAACAGCGGTTGACCGGCGCCTTCCGCGGACAACACTGCCCGCTAGAGCGGCGGGCGTCGCGCAACAGCAGTGGCGCATGTGAAACGAACGCGCGTCCGCGCGTCCTTCCGCCGCTCAACGCTGCGACTGCCGCCGCTCGTTCGCTCGCATGTGAAACAGGCTTTAGTGTTTGTTTTTTGTGTAATACCTGAACTTAACATCCTTTATTTCGTTACAATGTTGTAGCACTTTTTCCTGTCCTTATATTTTCTATTTTTCTGTTTTATGTAAGAAAGATGCACCTTCACAGGAGCCTACAGCTGTTCATGAGCAGCTGTTCTTTCTTCTGTTTCTTCCTTCCTCCCGATAGAGTGAGCAGGCATTGTGCCAGCTTGCTATTTCCCTCTTTCCTCTCTGTGTCCTTGTGTAGACGGGTATGCAAATCAAATGAATAAATAAATAAATCTCACTTACCAAGCACTGCCTTCCTGCAAGAATGGTTAACTTCGAATTGTGAAGGAGTTACTAATAGACAAAAATCGCTTTTTTGATTTGTGTTATTTTGAAGAGCAAGAATAAATTGTACCATAGTTTCTGGAGTTTTACATGCCAACATCTAAACTTGATTATGAAGCACATCATAGTAGGAGACTGCACAATAATACTGGCCCTCTGAAGTTCCTTACGGTGCAACTGAATCTACGTACATGGGTATTCTTGTATTTCATTATGACCTTCAATGCAAGCAGATGAAGTAACGTATAATGTAGTATGGAAAATCATAGAACTAACGGCACTTACTTTCTACACTCCACTTGTATTGGCCCCACTTTGGAAGTCCAAGTACCTGGTTTGCACAGTCCACAACAGTCTTCAATTTCTGTTTTTGACCTTCTTCAGACTGGGTCACCTCAACCACATCGAGTTTCTTTCCACTCAGCTTTTCTGTTAGGAAACAAAAAGGATAATTAAGTTTACATTAGAGTTTGCACATGTTATAAAAAATGCAAGCAGGCAGCAATAGGTTATAACTTGACACTTTTCGCACATTCCTCCAGAAACTCCTTCCTGTTCATTTAGCGAGTGTGTAGTTACTTGGAGTGCACAAACATATGAATGCATGCCATGAATACTATTACAACGTTTCCACTATTTACAAATGAGAAAAAAAATTGAGAAGAAATTCTTGACAAGGTAGAATAAATGCCTTATCACGATGATGTTGAACGTGCAAGGAGCTATCATTCATAAAATGGCAGTTGCAAGCAAAGAGCTCGTTGAGGGACGCATCAGCATCAAAGTGAGGAGCTCATACATAGAACAAGTGAACCAATAAATGCTCCGTCTAGCTGGAGTAATGTACTTCTTAAATATATTTCCCAGAAAGCATAAGGACTCATACGAGACGTTTACGTCATAATACATTGTTGGCTAGCAGTGCAAACGCATCTTACGTACAACACTTGGCTTAGTGAGCCACATGCCATTTAATCATGGCCGTCATGTAAGGTGCTAGTTATCTTGATACAGTGTTGTGAATGCTGCTAAAAGAGCTTACCAAGAAGTTTTTGTAACACTTGTCCATCAAAGAGATCTTCTTCGATATCCTTCACAATTATTCGATGGCTGGCCAGTTCATCGTTGATCCATTCAATGAGTACGGCTATCAGTTCCTTAAACTTTGGGTCTTCGTAAGATGATGGCTCAATCATGGCCCTTTCTTCCATTTCGTCTTAATAAAGAAACAAGAAATATTTCAATAAGCTCAACGCAGCGAAAACATTCAGACAGCCAAGCTGTAAGTGCACAGCAGAGCGGGTACGTGAGGTTAGAACAAGACAGCTTAGTTTCATTTCAAGCACTATCATCATCTTAGTGCACTATCATCATTATCATGTCATCTATATTGATATTTACTCCCCCCTTTGGTCACTTTACCTGCATGATGCCTGCAACTAAGACTTCTATAGCTACAGCTACGATGATGACACAGAGTAGACTAAAGCAGTATCGCTGTAAAAACAAGAGACTATCGCTTTGTGTCACTAAAAAAATTACAACTGACTGGCATTGATGGCGTCAAGCCTGAAAGAAAAACGGAGCTCGATACCTTGCCATGTTTCTCTTTCTTCCTCTATCTTCTCTCTATTGTACATTTCTTTCTTTCTTATCTATTCATTCCTATCTCTTGCCATCGTTTTGTTGTCACATTCCCACCTTCTTTTTTTTTTTTTTTTTATTGGCGCTAGTATGCCCTACGGCATCAGTTAAATAAAAAGGAAAAGTTTTGTTTCCTGTATGAAGGCCAGGAGTTGTCGATGCAGTGGACCGTGCGTCCAGCGCGTCAAGTCAGGTGGTCGGCCGGGGTGGTGGTGAAGGCCGCGTAGGTGGCGAGTGCGAGCCTGGTGAAGGCCCGGGCAGGTTCCCAATTCCCACCTTCCTTTTTTCCATTTCTTACTTCCCGTTTGTAGCTCTCACTGTTTTTGTCTTGCTCCTTTTTTTCTTTTTTCTTGTGTATGTTTCCATCTCTCTCTCGTGTATCAGTTCGTCAGCATTTCTATGTTTTCCTCTTTCCCTCCGTTTCTGTCTCGGTTTTCTCTCTCTCCCTGCTCTGTTTCTTGCCCACCGAGCTCGTGCATCGAATACTGGACGAATGGGCGCAGCTGTAGAGCATGTGCTTGGTGCACATGCTCTACAGCTACCCCCGAGCATTGGTACACATGCTCGGGGAGAAAGCAAAGGACGATGCAGAGGATGAAAAGAGCACTCGTCAGTCTAGTTATATTGCACAAGCTTTTATAAACGTAAAGACCCTTCGTGATGATGATAGTTTTTGCGAATGCGTATTCGCATAATGAAATGGATATCAGCTCCACTGTAATACACAATGCAAATTAACACAATCCAAATTACACAGTCTTGGGCCCAAAAACGACACTTCCACTGATTCAATACAAGTAAAATATTGCTGATACCCGTTTGCATAAAGAAATCAACCCCTCATACCGAGGACATAATCCTGCGGCGGCAGTTCCGGAAGTGTTGGACTTCCTGGCGTGTCGATGGCATTTTTCCCTTCTTCCTGGAGCTCTACCACTGCACACGAGACATAATACATCTATGTAAATACGCAAATCGTGTTAAATATTTCGATTTACCGTTCTAGATAGCTTGGCGAGCACCACTCACATCAGGCGAGTAATACAGATGTAACACGGTAGCCATCAAGCCTCGATCACGATGAAATTTTTTGAATGCGATTGGCTGTATGCCACACCTCGCGCAAATAAGGGAATCGCGATCGAAAGTGAACCGTACGTGTGACACCCCCTGTATTACTACACCGTACATCTCGTAAACACCCCTGATAAGACCGCGGTTACCGCGGTACCGCTTGACACACACTAGTTTTCACAATGAATAGATCCGTTACGACGGAATTTCACAGAACGTTGTCACTCACCCGCGGTTTGCGTAAGTAAACACGGCTATTACTGCACAGGTGGCAAGACGATTTGGGGCGTGGTGCGACTGTTTCAGTCGAAACAAGAAACAACTCGAGTATATCGGTCCACTGTCACGCTTTCTACTGTTTCAAAAGAGTGCCAGCAATTTACGAAAGCAACAGACAGACGGTAGGTACAAAATCGCAGAGAGGTGTTAGCGTAAAACCAGCACACCACCATACATGGTCACAGAAGAGAACTCGTTCATACGATCGCTCGATTACGACTAAAACCGCGGTAACACCCCACGGGAGACGACTATAAAGGAGTGATTAAGTTACTACCTTCCTTTATCTTCTTCCTGCGGCCAAGAGTGCCCAAGTACTCCAGAAATGACTCGTCTTTCTTCCTCTGGGGAGTCGCAGGTTTGGGCGACTTTGGCCGCGGTGACGCCATTTTCAGTTTACTCCCACGCGGTGGGCTCTCGAGGCAAAAGGAGAAAAAAGCAATCCGCGCCAACGCAGTGGACCCGCCGCGCCATCTATGGTGCGCAAACGAATGCTACAAAAGGGCGGGTGGTTCGAAATTGTTCAGCCCGGACGTATATTCTGACGCGTGAAAAAAAATCTGGACACGGTTGTGAAATACGGTATACAGACAGCTTCATTTTGCAGTTGTAAGCATGTCTGGGTCAGTTGCAGGCGCCTAGTCCCAGAAATCTTTTTTCACGAGGGAGGGGTGCTGGGCAGCTACATGATTTTGGGGATGGCGCCTTCTTGAAATAGTCGTTTTTCAATCTCTGTTATTCCGTGCCGCGAAAAACCGTTCCAGGGGTGGGGAGGGCACAAGCCTGGTTTGCCACCTCCTGGCTACTCCCCAGGTCAGCTGTCATGGCGCTGAATTGTAGCAGCCATGTTAGACTGAATTTAGCTTTGTAAGATCAAAAGCAGAGCTACGAATCACGAAATTCAGGAGAGAGAGGAGGAGTGGGGTGTTGGACATAGCGGCACAGGAATGTAAATAAAAGCAGTCGTTATTGTAACCAAAGAAAGCAAATGGATTTTTAGGTGAGTGCCTGGTTAGGTTAGAAACGGGCATCGGTGCACTAGTCACTGATCGAGTTTTCAACGCTATCAGTCGTTTTCACGTTGATACAACGCACGTGCCTTTCACCTAGCGGAAAAAAAACTCGAAACATTTGGTATGACCTCCGCGCGCCTCACGATATGGATGGCTTTCGTTGTGGCGACCCTGGTTGCCCCATGTCTCTCATGTTATATGGTGGTGTTAGGAGTTCAAATCCCAACAAATTATTAATATTAATCTTCATCAGAAAAACCCTCATGGTTTCCACAGGTATTAGCTGACAGCCACTTTTTATGGGTCCTCTAAAGGACATCTACACTAGCCGCATAAGACACAACACACTAATTTCACCAATATTGACTGTTATGTGGCATACACGTGACAAGGGCACCTGTAATTCTAAGAAATTATGCTTTCCTATAGTCAGCAACTTGATCTTCTTGCACACATTAGGCACCACTTACCTACGGTAGTCAGTCCTAACATGCGCTGGCAGTATGCGAGTAAATGCCATAGGTCGGAAGAGCGCTCACATGTTCCACTGTTTGCAATGTGCAAAGGAGTGTAGTAGTCACGGATGGAAACGCGAACACTTAGGACTAGAGACACTTTGTTTCCAGTATCTACAGATAATGTCATAAAGACTTTACTATGACTAAAGAGCTCTTACATGAGAGCCGGCGTCACACCGTCAGTGGCCCGATTTGCATGGACATGGTTCGGTTATCACAAAACTCCTCATATGAGTAGTCATATTAAAAAAAAAAGATGATGTGGCATATCAACACATAAGTATTTTACAGTGCAAAGGGCCCTGCCACCCTTTTCTCAGTAATAATCAAATAGATTCATTAAAAGAGTTCATTTTTTTTTCGAATGCACTGCCGCAAAACTTTTCATAATCTGTTTAGGAGGAGCTACAAAGATTGCTAGCCTGCCTGAAGGGCTTTCTTTCTCCTTTTGTACTCGCGAGTGGGCTCAAAGTCACATTTAGATTAGAGGGACAGATAGAGGCACTAGAGGATGCATCCCACGTCACTGCGTGTCATGACTTTAAGCTTCTGCACATATTATAGCCCTTTTCTAAAAAAACCAAAAAAACGCGTGGCTTAGTTTCAGTGTGGCGCCGCGAGATGCTGCCACGTGGGCACGTGGCGGCATCTTGTGGCAGGCCCGGTAACAGCACAGCTCACGATGCTCTAATCAGCCAATAGTTGTGCCCCCTGGGTTATGGCGCCGTCATTTGGGTTCATGACGTCATCTTCAGATAAAACAGTCAATTACGTCTTGCTGACATCAACAATAATTCGTGAATTTCAGGCTACGTGTAGTGCTAAAACGCGTAGCTCACGTTTTCAGGACCCCCGGCTACCGATTGGCCGTTTTTTCTGACAACGATAAAAAGAAGTGTTGCAGGGCCCCTCTAATTCCTTATATGATGACTACAATGCTTCCGGTCTCCTTACTTTTTGCTTTGGACGCATCCAAATGGGCAGTTAGTGCCTCCTGTAGAGAACGGGCAAACTTCTTGGTCTTGTGTGGTCGCACAAGTGACAGGGTCGCCACGCTTATTTGCGGGGACCGCTGGCCATCTATCGGCGACGGTTGACCCTCTATCGGTGTGCGCAACGGTCCGACTGCTTTCGTAGATGTTTTCGTTGGAATCTGTGGAGTCCTCGGTGCCACATTCCGTCTGTGGCGGTGGTGGGAGCTCTTCGAAATCATCGGTGTCGGAAGATGACGTCATCCTGAGAAAATGTTGGCATAGTTGAGTTGAATCTATAAATCTCTTGCGGCTGCAACTAGCAGGCATGAAGGGGTTAAAGAAGTAACACTAAAGCAAGAAGTAAGAATGCCTAGGCAGTCTGGACAGACTGCCACGGCTGCAACCGGCAGGTATAAAGGCGTTAAAAAAGTGACACTAAAGCAAGAAGTAAGAATGCCACGGCAGCCTGGGCAGACTGCCACAGCAACAAGACTGATCTGCCATGGTAGGCTGGATGTGCTGGTTCAGCCCATTTTGAAGTGTGAGGAGCGACAACAACAGACAAAAAAGGCAGCCTAAATAAAAAAAAGGAGGCTACTTGCAACTTTCTTCTCACATGTAGCTCTCAGGTGTATTGAGCTCTAAAGAGACACATGATGGCCCTTTTGAAGAGTCATGTGCCCTACACTTCTACTAAAGAGAGTTGACATGATTCTTGAGGGCGTTATGCATATGAGATTCATATATGTAGGAAGAAAGAGTTAAGGAACTAAATTTTTTTAGAGTGTAGTGTGCATGCATAACTCTCAATTTAGTCCGTTGTCGTCGTCCCATCTTGTGCTATAAAAAAGACACTGAAGCTGTACGTAAGTAAGCTTATGTTGATAACATACGTGTAGCTTCAGAAAGGAGGGTTGGGGGTTCAATCTCCATCTTAAAGTTCTTAAAGATTGCGCGTATATACACACGTGCAAATCTCAAATATTGAAAGATACGCGCACACATACCAACACACGCACGAAGTTGCATAAAGGTTGGCTGACCCTCCGCTCGGAAAAAAAAATTCTGGATCAACAATATTACGCACAAATGAAGTTTCATGTTTAACCGATTGCTAAATGTTCAAAGAAAAGAAGGTCTACACATAGGAACACATAAATAATGATCCAACCCAGACTACCCGCTTGGCCATTGCGAACTACCCGACTTGCTCATCCAGTAATTATTCACCAGAATAAGTCAACTAGTTATTCTAAATATATAAAATTCCATATATTTGAATTTCTCGCCCGCCACTGTAATTCTATATAAGTCAGTGAGTCATTACAAATATGTGAAGCAGTTCATGCCTGAATAAAAAAAAGCATCGCAGATCGGAAAACAACCAGTTTGTGATGTACGCTGAGAAAGACTTCTATGATCGCATATCGGTTGCAGCTCCTCCCACATGTTATTCTTGTAATCAAGAAAGCTCAAGTTCTCTTACCATCTCCTTCATTTTCACCCATGAAAAATATGTTACCCCAGAGAAGTGAACTTTGTCTTTGTAGCCTAGAATCAGGCATAAATACACTTGAAAAACCTTGAACAGCTCTTCACGCTCTGGTTAATCCTAGCCCAGCTTCACCATAAATATTGGACACACTCCATCCTCCCCTATTGCAGATAGGCGCAACGTTACCAGACTATAGTCCAGTAACGTTGAGATTGGCACTCATCCACGCCCCCCCCCCCTTTTCACACACACAAGAAAGAAAAGTGAATATCTGAATATTCCCAAGCCCAAAATTTTAGTAAGCTTTAGTCCCGGAGGGTCCATTGAGTACAATTTGCATAAGGTTGAAGGTAAGCGAGCTTGGCGTAATGAACTTGAATAATGTGTCCAAGTGAACCCTAAAGAGTAAAGATTTCGTTAGGCGCTCAGTATAATCCTAGTCAAGATAGACTGCGAGTGAACCTGGTTGAGTAGTTCGGTCATGATTGAATATTGAAGCTTTACAGCGTGGGTGAGTCGTGTGCAGTAGAATCTTTCCTAGTCTGCCATGCCCTCAGCGCGAATGTGCCTACCAGGGTCAGATTTTCGTAAGCCATCTGGCTGAGTGGACCCACACTTTGGTGCCCTTATGAAACCATGTGGTATTAAACTGATCAGTGCGAAAAGCAGAGATGGACCTGAAAAAAGTTAGACAAAGAGCGGGTGTGTCGGTGGTTTCTTCACTGAATAACTTGACTCAGTTGTGTCTCTGGACTAGTCTCGCAGGAATACCTGTGAGGCATTGCATAATTAGGCACACAAAAAAGTTTATTGAGTGTGCTGTGGGATGTATTTACAGTACACCTTTCTATTGTGGACAGATATACGTTGGCCAAACGGGCAAATGCCTAATGTAAGGCTACAGGAACATTGTCAAAAAGTAAAAAGCGTAGGGGTGGTACCTGTTCCTTGGCATCCCATTGTAATTTCGGTGCCAGCCCTCGTTTACGAAAACAAGAGTTTTCGCAGCTCATCGTAATAAAGACAGCCGAGTCGTCATTGCGGCTGAGACAATATAGCACAAGGAAGTCATATCAGTCAACTGTCAATACTTTTATCTGAACTGGCCTATTTCAATTCAGCACGCGGCGTTCTGGTTGTTTTTTGTGGGTTCCATTTTTACTTTTAATTCTTGCAAAAGTGTTTGGTCATATCATTTCTGTCCACTCTATATGTGCGTGTCATTCCAATAAAATTCCGCTGGAAGTCTGCACTGGTCTTCGTGAATTATTTGTTTCCCTTGTCTACTTTTAGCGCTGAGTAACCTAATAATGGAATATCAACAAGCCCGATCTCACACTTTACTTATGAATGCAATCGCATTTCGCCGGTAAACCGCCGAACGACGGTTACTCACAATTCTTCCTTGCTGTCCTTGCGCGGCATACCGGGCGCCATTGCTTGATCTCCAGCCGTGGCTCCAGTGGAGGTCACACCCCGATGTCCCGGCGTGAACTTCCAGCTGGTCTCGTGGGTGTCCAAAAAGTTCCCCAGGGTGGCCGACTTCTTTCGCGGACTGCTGGCGCCTTCGGGACTCAGGGGAAGCAGCACGACAGTGGGAGCCACGGGGGCGAAGTGGACTACTCCGGGTCTTCTGGGACGCTGTTCCGATGACGTCGCTGACGCATCCTCCGTGAGCTCAGCGCCACTACGTCGCCACGGATGTGCGCCTTCGTCAGCGGTGGCAGTCGTCGTTCCTGCGGAGCCTGCGTGTGACTTCGGAAACTTCTTCGGCGGTAGAGGAAAATCCGGAGTCGCCGCCGGTGATCGGTGGTCTTCCTGAGAACAACCAGAACCACGTGAAGCCTGTTCAGTGACCAATTCATTTCTATCGCCCGTTTAAAACCCCCAAATGGGTACGTACTAGTGCCAACTTAGAAAAGAAATACACAAGAAAATAAAAAACTTCAACTGTTTATTTGAAAGTACCAGCCACCGGATTTCAGCTATCTGCCCATGCGTGCATCGGCCAAAACGTGCTCACAATCACGTATCAAAGATGTGCATCGCCTTTTGGAAAAATGACACAGACGTATCACTGTTGCTACTCACACTTCTATCGTAGAGCACTCCCAGTAACTGTCGCGCTAACGCAATGTCTCGCGCAATAACTCTCGCGCTAAAATCTTATTGATTCGAGTTAAAAAAAGATATCTTTGATCCTCTTTTTGTTGGTTTTGACTAGCCACTTATATAACTGTCTTATAGCAGACACATTACCTTTTATTTGGAGAGACGTGCGTCCATCACTTTCCTAATAGAGTAGAGCGAGCTCCAAAAGGGTTTTATCTACACGGAGCACGTCGCTACTCACAGAAAGGGTTCAGAAAACTGTATTCTTTTGTTTTGTTAAAGTGTGCCTGATTGTTCCCTAGATCGTCACCATTGATCGACAAATGAAAGTGTCAATCTATAGATGCTTCAGTAAATCTTCAAAAAGGACCGACCGGCTCCATACCATGACCGTACAGTCTACATCAGTGTGCAAGAAACCATATGGGGCTCTGTGAAGAATTGTGGAAGATACAATTTCGTAAGATTAAGGAAACGGGTGTTATCTGGCATTATAATTTCAATATTAAACCTTCCTTGGAAATTAAAGTGGGGTTATTAAGTAGTTCCTGTGGGTAGACAAAGGGGAAAAACTTGTTTTACAGCACTCGAACTGAGATCGATACAACCTTTTATGGTAAGTACTATGCTAATAGGTAGAAGACATAAAAAAAGTAACATATCAATTGGTGAGAGATCAAAGGACGTGTAAACTAAATAACCACCTAAATTTAGAACATAACCAGAAAACCCTTATGAATATGAACTGAGGAGGGAGAGTCCACTGTACGGCATAATTCAACACAATAGACAAACACACCTTGTACTAGCTAATGTTGACAAGCTTATATTTGCCATTGTTCATTCTTCACAGCCTGCATTTTCAGTTACTTCAGTCGTTGCTGTACTCCACCGCTAGCTAGTGGAACAGGTATTTCAAAGCATAACACTTATATTTCCGCTAACCCCTATGTTCATGATAAAGTTTAAATTTATGGTCACTTATGGAAGATTTATTCCGCATAATTGAAGAAGGCCCAGGAAAAAGCACAACCTCTATATATTAAGCTCCACGTGTCTTAAAATAGCTGCCTCTGTCTCTACGTATCCTAATTATGTCTCACTTTACTAGCAGTTAATATGTGGAACCCTAGGTTAAGTTAGGGTACGATGCCCACGTGGTCGAGCTGTACTTTACTGGGGTAGGCACTGCCAGCGAAGGCGGCTTGTCTCCTAATTTTACGGTGGTGGCAACAAGGACACGTTTGCGCATGCGTTCATTCGGCCCGGAGCACTGCTAATCAGCCGAAGTCTCTGTGACGCCCGACAGACGCAATCCAAATACTCTGCGCGTGCACGCGAACGGGGGTGGAAGTGTTGTGGCGAAAGGAGAATGGCGGATATTCCCAGTTATGATAAGATGTAGTGGCACCATTGAAAATTGCTCTGGATTGACTGATTGATTGATCGATATGCAGGGTTAACGTCCCAAACCCACGATATGATTATAAGAGACGCCGTTGTGGAGGCTTCCGCGAATTTCGATCACCTGGGGTTCTTTAACGTACATCCAAAATCTCAGCACACGGACCTACAGCACTTTCGCATCTATCAGAAATGCAGCCGCCGCAGCCGGGATTTCATCCCGAGACCTGCGGGTTAACAACCGAGTACCTTAGCCACTAGACCACCGCGATGCGGCAGGCTTTGGAAGCCCATATGAAAGGAAAAACGGTCAACCGTCACATGTTTTAGTATGAACACAGGGCGCGAGTTAGGCAGGACAAGAAGACGGGAACGTTCCTTGTTTCTCTTGTCCTGTCTGATCCACGCTCTGCTTTTATTTGAAGGCCATGAACACACTCGCACCGCAAAGGATTCTATTACGTCTCACGTGCACGGATCTTACGTCATCCGATGTGAACAGTTCCAGGGAAGGCGGAGGTAAGTAAGTAAGTAAGTAAGTAGGTGCTCCTAATCCCTTTTGGCACAGGGCAGGCGCCAGCAGCGCCACAGGACAAAGTTGTGCGCTTCAACGCACATCCATACACACGCACACACACATCACCAGTCAGGCGCTTGCCGCGCCACCGTCAAAAAAAAAAAAAACATTTTGTGTTTTACACGCACTTCACGCGAACACGCACTCACACGTTTTCCACTTTACTGTTCGAAGAAAGAAAGGTCTGGTAGTAAATTGCCCGTTTCGCCACCAGGGGAAACGTGCCCTCGGCCAAGTCTATCCAGTGGCGTCGGCGTCGTTTAGATATTTTCTGTCGGCCCTTCGTTGCGCTGGACACTGTCGGGGTGTTTGTCCACCTGCCAGCACAGTCTGTCCCAGAGTTTTAGACGTCGCTTGGCACTCTCGGTGTGTTCGACTCGGGTGTCGACGGGATCATCTGGGAGACCCAGATATTCCGCCAGGTTTATCTTGGGTAGGTCCCTCGCTCCGAGTCGCGGGCAATCCATCAGGATATGTTGGATGGTTTCTTCCGTGGCCCCGCATAGGCGGCACGACGGGTCCGTGTCGAACAGTTCCCAATGCCGCTTCCGCGTGGGCAGTGACCCCGTCCTGGCTTGGAACAGGAGGGCGCTTTCCCGGTCGCCCCTGTAAAATGGCTCACGGTCTGGAGCCTGCTTGTATTCGAGGTATAACTGTAGGCTCCTTTTCTTTGCCGCCGACGTGCGCCACATCTCTGTGCTGGCTTCGGTTATAGTGTTTTTTGTTATTATACGCCATTCTCGTTCCGATTTTGCTTCTTCCAGTTTTGTGTTATGGCCGAATTTATTTTCCAGAGAAGCCAGTCGTTTCATCCACTGTGTTTTTATGCCCCTGTATCGGAGGTGTAGGTATATGCGCTGGCTGTAATTTGTTTCTGGTAGAAACTTTAGCCGGCCCGCATATTGTATTTTTGACCTTGCTTCGCGTGCTTCGAAAGTTGACCAGGCCAACTCCCCTGTTACTGCTGCGTTTGCTGTTGCAAAGCTGCCTCCCAGTAGCCAGCGCCCCAGTTCATTTTGGTGGCGGTCCAAACATCGCACTGTTTGGGTAGAGTACGCCAATGTGTCACCTGCGTAGGTTATTGCAGGCACGGCAAGAGTCTTCCAAAGTGTGCGGCCTACCCTGTAGGGGTTGTAGGAATGCCGTGACAGGTGCCACACCCTACCTTTTAGGCGGTTGGATTGTTTTAGGAGTAATTCTTGGTGTTTGTCAAGGTAATTCTTTTGGTCTGATATTGTTATGCCTAAATATCTGTATGTTGCTGTTTTCTTGATGGTGTTGCCTTGGATGGTGAATGTTATGTCTTTGTCATCAATGTTTATGCCCATCCATTGTGTTTTGTCAGTGTTGAATGTGAGGCAATCTTCGTGGGCTACGCGAGAGCATATGTCGAGGAGATGTTGCAGGTCCGCTGGGGATTCAGCCAATAATACGATGTCATCGGCAAATGCCAAGCATGAAATTTTAGTGTAGATTTCTTGGCGCTCAGTTGTTACGGTGGAAAGACGTAGCCCTGGTCCTTCTCTATTTACTTGTTCTAGTAGGCTGTTAATGTAAATATTGAATAATGTTGGCGATAGTGGGCACCCTTGTTTGAGTCCAATATTTTGTTGCACCTGTCTAGATTTATATTTGCCCAGTTCATACACTGCCGTACACTCTGCATATAGTGCTTTTAGTAATTTGATGAAGTCTTCCTCAATATTAATTTTTTCTAGCTTCTCCCACAGTCGTGAGTGCGGCACTGAGTCATATGCTTGTTGTAGATCCAGGTATGCCAGGTATAGTTGAGATTTGTCTCTGTTTTTCATTTCTATTGCCTGGGTTAGGGTAAAGATATGGTCACTTGTCCGTCTGTTTGGGCGAAATCCATTTTGCGATTCTGACAAGATTAAGGTTTTTTCACAGTGGTTTTGTAGCCTGCGATTCAGGATTGTATTGAAGAGTTTCAGAATGCTACTCAGTATTGTTATGGGGCGATACGCCCCAATGTCACTTGTTTCCTTTCCCTTTCCCTTGTGAATCAGCTTTACCCGGCTTTCTTTCCAAGTTCTTGGTATTTTTCTGCTTGCCAGAATGTCGTTGAGGCAGCCGCGTAGCATTTCCTTTGCCTCTGAATGCTTTCAGGAATTCGTTGGGTATATCATCGAGTCCTGTTGCTTTCTGGTTTTTTAGATCATTTATGCGTCTCTTTAGTTCTAGTTTAGAAATTGGTCCAGTCAGCTTTTCTTCTTCAGGTGTGCTGGTCTTGTCCTTTTTTCTACTGCTGATCTGGGGTGGTGGATCTACTGGATTGGTTTGCATATTTTTAAAATGTTTAGTTATGTGCTGTTCAATTTCTTCTTTGGTATGTAGAGGAATGCTATTTTCAGTAAGTAGTATGAGTGAATCTTCCTGAAGGGTGTCCTTTGGTTCCAGTGTCCTTATGTATGCCCAAAACTTCTGACTGTAATGGTTACGATCCTTATGCAGGTTTTCTTCTTCTTTTTGGAATTTCTGGTCTATCTTTTTTGCGGCCATTTCCTTTACTTTTCTTTTTTGGGCCAGGCCAAGAGGGACTCTCCAGGTGGCGCCAGTAGC